TGTTGGGGGTGACAGCTATTTACTGAGACCCTTGCCTCTTCTCTGCGAATAGTTATGCATAAAAACGAAAACCTCCCCTCATTTCCAAATGTGGCCTCTGTGTGTGCGTGTGTGTGTGTGTGTGTGTGTGTGTGTGTGTGTGTGTGTGTATGCTTTTTCCAAAAGCTATTTAGAGAGGAAAGCATTTTAAAATTGTGAGGATGCTCAAGTTGACATTATTTAGTTGCTCTCAACATGAGAAGTAGGTGATTCAGAAAAAAGAGCTGGAGAGGGTTCCGGGAGGAACAATCAGGCACCTTTTATGAAAGGTCTTCATTTTAAGAGTGTTTGAATTGCTTATGTTTGTCATCATAGTGCCCCATAGGACAGGGCTGAACTGCCCCACCGATTTCCAAGATTGTAACTCTGTGTGATTCATTGCTGTCCAGTTGGTTCTGACTCGCAGGGACCCTACGTAATTTCTTTAGGTGACTAGCAAGCCTCATCTTTCTCCCATGCAGTGGCTGGGGGTTTCAAACTACTGACCTTGCAGTAAGCAGCTCAATGTGTAACCCAATGGGCAACCACTCAGGATAGGAATCAACTCAATGGCTCTGAGTTATTATGCCCATCCCTTGTTCAAACGCCCAAGGCAGAAGCAGCAAGTCACTGAGGTTGTGCGGAAGAAGCTAAAATAAGGCATATTGCCCCTCTCACCTCCGGGAGCTTAGAGTTTTGTCCCCTTAGACTTTCCCTGCGGCCCAGCTGCTGTCACAGAACTCTGTCACAGGAGGACAGAGAGGTGAGGTGTGTGCCCAGCTTAACAACTGTTCACAAGAACGAGACCATTGCTGAACTCCCTGCACATCCTTTTGAACAGAAAATAGGGCCGGAGCCCTTCTTGCTTGTAGCAAAACTCGGCAACAGGAAGCCTTATCATGTTTTATACAGTCTTTAAGGGAAGAAAAGGAAAGCAACTATTTTACTAAATGAAAAGAAGTTTTATTAATTTCACATTTCCAGGGAAGAAAAAAAGTACGTTTAGTGGAACTCAAGGAAGTTTCCACTAGCACTAATTTTTCCCCACAAGGACGACCGATGGGCAGATGCGACAGAGCTTATGGTGACATCGTGGGTGTCGCTGTGGAAGTACACGCCACAGGGCTTCCTTTCAGGGTCTGGTTTTTCAGCGGTAGAACTCCAGACCTTGGTAGGTGGAATTGAACTTCTAACCTTTCCTAACATTAGCAGCAGAGCAGGATAGCAGTTCCAGCTTCCTGGGACAGGCTTTTTAAATACCCGCCATCCTTTTTCTTGTTCTTTCTTTTTTTTTTATTTTATTTTATTTATTTATTTATTTATTTCCTTTTTTTTTCTCTTGTTCTTTCTTTGTAGTATACTTTTTACCTGCATGGATGTTATGTTCATATAAACAAAGTACAGGACAACGGACAATGTCAGTTTACACTCCCTGGGCCACAGTCCCAGTGTCTGTGAAATGACTGGATGCCATGGGCACGAGGGAGGTCGGGCAAGATGCTGAGACTTCTTTGGCCAATTTCTTATGCTTATCAGACTATCTGGCCTATCATTTTTCCTGAGGATTAGGTGTGGCCTGGTTTCGAAGGAAGCCTGCTGCCATCAAGCCTGACCCTGACTCACAGAGGCCGTGTAGGACGGGGCAGAACGGCTGCACTGGGTTTCTCTGGCTGTCCCTCTTTATGGAAGCAGATTGCCTCGTCTTTCTCCCATAGAGCAGCTACTGAATTTGAACCACTGAACTTTCAGACAGCAGGTGAGCACTAATCCACAGCACCACTGGGTTCTTCTTGCCCTGGTTTAAATGAGTTAAATGCATTTTTTTAAATTAAAATCTGAAACAAATTGTTCTTCCTTAAAAAACCAGCAGAAGTAAGACGGAAGCTTCTCATTAAGCGCCATTAGGAATTTCTGGATTTTTCCTGGTAACAAAGCGTGTATGTTGTGTTTGAGCCAACTGTCCTGTTAATCACGTTCCTCAGCCTGGTGTCTTCCATAATAGCCACGCTGAGCTTTTAAACACAGCTGATGGGTTTCTCTCGCGCACACTCTATGTGGGCAAAGAGAATTCCCATTTACTTCCATGACCTCTGATTTAAAAGCAGAGATTTCACATTATTTACCACTGGATGATTTCCCTGAAGTGCAATGAGGACTAAGTACAAATATGACAGATGTAATTATCAGAGGTTTTATTCCACACAGTCGGGGTCTTCTTGTGTTATAATTGCAAGCTTTTCATTCAAGCGAGTAAGTTACCTTTGCACTTTCAGCTATTTCTGAAAGAAGGGGCAGCTCAGATTCCTTCTAGCCCATTCTCACAATGCAAATTTGGGGGTGGGTGGGGTGGAAAGAACTGTAATGTGGTGGAGAAGAGAAATACAAGAGGATACTGTCAAATTGTCTCTTTTCTACCATTACATTCTGACTCATGTCTTGAGCCCTAGGAAGGCCACACTGAATTTCTGTTAATGAAAGAGAAACTGGGAATGGCATGAAGCTCACGAATTCATCACACACACACACACACACACACACACACACACACATGGCTGTGTATGCATCAGTATAAAAGCGTTTGTGTGGTTTCTAAGGAAGATTCCGTTTCTGTACCAAGCACCACTAGTCACATTAACATTGAGCTTTAGTCTAAACTAGTCAGACAGTGGTGGTATAGGGGTTATGTGTTGGGCTTCTAGCTACATGGTTAGCAGTCCAAAACCCCAGGCACGCCGCAGGGAAAAAGACAAGGCTTTCTACTCCCATAAAATTAGTCTCAGAAACCTACTGGGGCAGCTCTAATCTGTCTTAGAGGTGAGCATGGCCACATACTGAACTTTCTTCTCTTAGACTTGAAAATAGCTCTTTTTTTCCCCCTTGCAAACTCTTTATTTTTTTAAATTGTTTTATTAGGGGCTCATACAACTCT